GGGGGCGAGGGGGGGCGGGGGGAGGGAACCGTCCCGGGCCGGAGGTCCCGTCCCGGGATGGAGGTCCTGCACCGGGATGGAGGGCCGGTACCGGGATGGGGAGCCGTACGGGCTCCTGTCCCGGGGTGGGGGGCCTGTAGCAGGATGGAGATGCCATAACGGTTCCCGTACCAGGATGGCGACCCGTTACCGGTGCGGGGTGTCCGGTACCGGGATGGGGGAACCTGATACCAGCACCTGTCCCGGGCCCGGGGCCCAGTAGCGGTATGAGAGACTTGTACCAGCACCCATACTGGGATGGACATCCCATAACGGTACCTGTACTGGGATGGGGACCCAGCACTGGCATGGAGCATCCCGTACTGGGATGGGAGCACCCGTACTGGTGTGTGTCCCGGGATGTGGAGCCGGTACCGGTATGAAGGACCAGTCCCAGGACCCATACTGGGGTGGGGAGTCCTATCCCAGCACCCATAACGGGTTGGGATGTCCTGTAATGGGATGGGAGGTCTCGTACCAGCACCTGTACTGGGATGAGTACAGTTACATCCCAATTACATCACAGGCAACTGGGATGGGGATCCGGTACCGGGATGGGAGCACCCATACTGGGATGGGAGGTCTCATACCAACACCTGAACTGGGATGGGGATCTGGTACTGGGATGGGATGTCCCGTACTGGGATGGGAGGTCTCATACCAGCACCTGTACTGGGATGGGGATCCAGTACCGGGATGGGAGGTCTCATACCAGCACCTGTACTGGGATGGGGATCCGGTACCGGGATGGGAGCACCCATACTGGGATGGGAGGTCTCGTACCAGCATCTGTACTGGGATGGGATGTCCCATACTGGGATGGGAGATCTCATACCAGCACCTGTACTGGGTTGGGGATCCAGTACTGGGATGGGAGCACCCATACTGGGATGGGAGGTCTCATACCAGCACCTGTACTGGGATGGTGATCTGGTACCAGGATGGGATGTTTCCTACTGGGATGGGAGGTCCCATTCCAGCACCCATACTGGTATGGGGACTCAGTACGGGAATGGTATGTCCTGTACCAGAATGGGAGACCCCATGTCGGCACCTGTACTGGGATGAGGGCCCAGTACTGGGATGGAGATCGCCTCCGGGCACCCATACTGGGATGGTAGCCCAGTACTGGGATGGGATCCTGCACTGGGATGGATTCCCACACCAGTACCCATACTGGAACTGGGGTTTGATACTGGGAGGGGGTTGCCATGTTGGCACCTGTATCAGGATGGAGAAACCCTATACCAGTACCTGTACTGGGAGGGGTGGGCACCAGTCTGGGGGTCCCACACTGGTGCCTGGCGAGGGATGGGGGAGACCTGGGGTCCCCTCACCAGGGGGGTGTTTGACAGGGGGGCACCCGGGACCTTCTGGCACCCTGAGCCCCACCTTCTGACCCACACCCAGGGGACACCCTGACCCCCTTGGGGTGACCGTGTGGGGCCTCAGCCCTGCTTCACCCCCCAGGACCCCTGGCCTGGGGACCCTCTCTCCTCTGGGGCCACCCTTGTCCCCTGGTTCACCCCAGGAGGCTGGTGCTCCAGGTACCCCAACCCCATGGGGGTGTCCCCCCCCATGGCCCCAGCACCCTGGAGGAGTCCAGCCCTTCATCCTCATCCTCCCATCACCCAACATTTCCCAGCCTGGATGTCACCCACCCCACGGGGTGGGGACAGAGCTGGGGTCTGGGGCTGTGCCCCTTGTTGGGGACACTGGTGCTCCAGGTACCCCAACCCCATGGGGGTGTCCCCCCCCATGGCCCTAGCACCCGGGAGGAGTCCAACCCTTCATCCTCATCCTCTCATCACCTAACATTTCCCAGCCTGGATGTCACCCACCCCACGGAGTGGGGACAGAGCTGGGGTCTGGGGCTGTGTCCCTTGTTGGGGACACTGGGGGGACACAAACACACACTGGGGGCAATGCTGGGTGTGACACGTGTTGGGGGGGGCTGGGGGGCTGGCGGGGGGCGGGG